TGGGGCTGGGTTCAAATCAAAAGTTACTGACCAACTTTTTTTTTTCTATGGGCTCATCAGCAGGCACCATCAACTATGGTCTGTTTGTATGGATGGGGGGCTCAGTGTTAGTGGGGTAAGTAACTAATACTTGCACTCCCTCCCCCTCCCTCCCCCACTCCCCTATATCACTGCACTGTACTCCCTCTGCTCCCTCTGCCTCCATCACCCCCACCACTTCCTCTATCACTCCCACCCCTCCACAAATACTCATAGAGTACACTATGGATTAAGGCTACTCCACATGGTCAATTGTCCTATGTACCATAGAGCTACCCCAATGGGGCCAATGATATGTATACATTATTGGGCCCAATGGATTTGTTGATGCTAAGATGGCATGATGTGGCCCAGCAGTAAGTATTTTAATGGCACAGATTGGGTCAAATTCAATATATGGGTTTGTTCAGCTGAGAGCCATTAAAGACTTGGCAGCTGTTACTGCAGAAATATCTCTGTGAATATTTCTTTTCCTCTCATAGCATATGTGCATTCAATGCATGTCAAAATGAGGGATTTCAGCATGTGTTGGTGCCAAAATATCTCCAGGAATATTGTGTTGGCTCCCAGGAACCATGGGAACTGCATATATAATAAAGTCAAGAACTTTGGCAGCTGTTAGTGCCAAAATACCTTTGTGAATATTGTTTTTGCCTCTCAGCAAATATGTGCACTCAATGCATGTCAAAATCAAAGGCAAAGATTTCAACTTCTGTTAGTGCCCAAATTTGTTTTTGACCTCCTGGGAACATTGTTTGACTTTCCTGTAACATTTTCTGACCATACAGAACTATTGTTTTACCATCTGGACATATTGTTTTATCTCCTGGTACCCACTATTATCACTGTTTGATGTCCTTGTTCACAATCTAGTATAAAACAAAGTGTTGAACATAGAATACTGGTGTACTTTACCCTCCCCCACAGATTCCATCTGAACTCCACATGGACTCTATCTGAAAAAGAAGTTATGCCACAATTTCTTTTAAAATCCATCTGGAGTCCACATAAACTCCACCTGGAATCCAAGTGGCCTCCAGATGGATTTCACCCCTCAGGACTGGGACAGAGTTAAGCAGAAATTTTGCTGAATTATATATCATGTCTTAGCAGAGGCCATGAGGGGGGAGACAGAGTTGGGGACTCACATTGGTTTGGGCCCATCTTGTCTTTTTGTTCATGGGAGGTCATCTTCATATGTGGGTGCCTGTTTTCCTCTGTAGGCAGTGGTCATGGTATGTGGTCAAGAATGTGTCTGTGTAAACAGGGACACTTGGACATGGACAAAATTCAGGTTGAATCAGTACTTTCATTATACAAAGTCTGGGTTGAATCAGCACTTGAATGCATCAAAATCTGGGTGGAATGAGCATTTTTATTACCCAAAGTCTGGGTTGAATCAGCACTCCCATTATATAAAGTCTAGGTTAGCTCAAAGCTCTCAATGTCATAAAAGTAAAAGCTAAAGGTTGAAACAGGCTTTTGAAATGGCTGTCCACAAAAATTTAACAAAAGTTGCTTGCAACTTGTAATATGGAGCTATTAATGCAAGATGCCAGTGTAAGTTCATGGAAGACACCCTGAGACAAACAGAAGGATTTGAGGGTGCCACCTGCAGCCATGATGGAATTTTATAAACTCAAAGAGGAAAATTTCCTTATAGGGTAAGCCATAGTAAGATTCTTTTCCTCCACCAGACCCATTCTACTATATAAGGAGATAAGCTGACAAATAATCTCCTTATATGGTTACCTCCTTGGCTCTGTCTCACTCTGCATCACCTTCAAATGTGAGAAACAGCTATTGAACTTTCTGCTAATAAAACTGACTCATTTGTGTTGCTGAGCAAGTCAATAAAAGGGTGGCATGGAAAATGTCACTGTTACTTGCTCCAACAAATCCCTGTTCCTGCTCTGCCTAATAGCACACCCTGCTGTACAAGGCAACAGTGTTACATTTATAGTTGATTGATGAAGCAGGAAAGGGTCAGGGTTAATCAATGGAATCCATGAAATTAATGTTTCTGGAACAAGTATGGAATCCATCAGCCAATCCATGGAATCCATCTGGAATTCCTGGAATCCACCCCCTTCCATGCATGCCATCTGGATTAAGCTGGGGAGGGTAAAGTACATGTTGGTCTTGTCATATGTTGTGATTGCATGATTTTCATGAGAATGACAGTTCCCTTTTGAATTCTTAGCCTGTGACATGACTGTATTTGGAATTTGACAGAGTCTTGTTGCCATCTCTAGCTGAAGTTTGTCAATGGTGGGCTTTGGAGGCAGATCCAACCCGAGCTGACTCTGTAATAAAAAGGTTGAGTCAAATTGGTGCAATGTTTGTCAGGTTTTTTTCCTTGCATATTTGCTGCTGTCAAGCTGACATTTGGTGCTAGCCCAAAATGAAGAAGCAAGAAGATCTTGTGATGGATCCAGGGGTTACCACCAGATGTCTCCTTTCTGCAGGAATTTATTTTCTAAATCTGAGGATGAACTCAAGGATGTTATGGTTTCATATAAGTTCATGGCAATGAGGTTTGGTGGCAGCATACAAAAGACCACTCTGGATATATCAAAGGCAAACTTCAACAAACATGGTTTTGAGGGCCTCATGTACTGCAATGGGGATGCTCACTCAATGGCATTTTTACCAGGATACAGAGAACCCCCAAGGCCTTGTGAACATATGTAGGAGAGTACAAAGCATCCAAATCTCAGTCACTATTGCAAGGGAAATGGAACAAACAAATGAACAGGGTTGGTAATGATATATTGATTCCATGATTGAGTGATGATATACTAGGGCCAAACACCTTATTTGTCAGATGTGCAAAATTAACATGCAGAATCACAATGCAGTTACAAATACTAGACTTGAAGTATCAACAAAGGTTACATAAAAGGATCATTATGATAAGCATAAACCAATCAGTATAGCATGCCAGAAAGCAGATTGGAAGGAGCACAAGTCCAGTGCTTGCATGAAAGCCCCCATTTTTCTAGAAGCTGGACAAAATGATGAAGATATACAGTACACTGAGAGGGTAAAGTAAGCACCTTTATACTGTCTTTCTGGTCTTCCAGCTCCCCTTTCAAAGCACAGTGGAACTTCACATCCTCATGAAATTTGGTCTTGATATCTGAAAAGTGGTTCCAATCACCCAATGGGCCAGCTTGCTGTGTTGTTCTATGGGAAGTTTTCACAAAAAGGAGGCACTTGTTCATCATTGATATCATTGCAGAATGATATTGGTCATTCAAGCATTCCTCAAGGAGTTTGCAACCAAACCAAATTATATAGCAATATGGCAAATTGTCCATCCTTTTCACTCCTTCAACAATAGTGCCTCAAACTTCCAATACCTTGAATCTGTATATGCCAAGTATGTCCTTGCCATTGCTCAAGAAGCAGAACTGTAGTGTCCACTCTTTTTTTTAACATTGAATCTACAAACCTGTGTCATACATTGAGCACATTAGCTAGAAGACAGAAAACCAATATAGAACTTACAGTATTTCATTGTGGCAAAGCCCCTTCATGTCAAGTCAATAAAGCTCGCATTGCTCCTTTGTGAAGGAATTTGAGCTGATATCGTAATGAACAAACAAATGAACAGGTTTGGTAACACTATATTATTAGCTACTTTGATTTCTAGGTCAAATCTACTTGGGCTCACATGATCTTCAAGAAGGCTGGGGGTCCAGTGTTCACTTATGTATTCTCACTCAAAAAAAGCATAACATTCACACTCCAACAGAAGAGCAGCTGGAGAAGGTCTGGGATTCAGGAGAGTACAAGGGGAAAGTGACTGCTGGTAATATACAGGCAGATTTGATTGTGGTGTAGAAGTGAGTTTTTATCTCATTTCTATTCTCCTGGTATTGATTCTTTATAGGTTCTTCACCTCTGGATGATGAAATGTGTTGGGTTTGACAAGTCCCTTCAACGCTGAATCAACAAAGAACTCAAAACCTGGGATTCCTCAGAGGCTGGTTGCAAAACCAACAAGAAAAAGGTAGTTCATGGAGTTAAAAAAAGAAAGCATGGTAAACATGAGAGTGATGAGGGGGAGGGTAGTAAAGGCAAGGATGAGGAGGAGGAAGCTGACTTGAAGTTGGAGGACAAAGATGGATGGGAAAATGACTAGAAGGGATTCACAGGTAACTGAATTGCAATACTGGAGCAGGGGAACACAATCTAGAAATGGCCATCTGTTGATCATATTTTATGGACTTAAGACAATAATTGTTAATGGGAGATGCTTTACCATGATTTATGTCAGTTTGGCACAATCTAGACTCCATTGTAACTCATCCGACTGGTTGACACATCAACATCACATATTCCTTTCACAGCAAGCTGGCCCATTGGGTGATTGGAACCACTTTTCAGATATCAAGACCAAATTTCATGAGGATGTGAAGTTCCACTGTGCTTTGAAAGGGGAGCTGGTGGGCGCTTCGTCAGTCTTGTGGGTGCTGGTGGTCATTTGGCAGTCATTATGACTGTTCTTGTGGTTGTTTTTGTTGCTGGGCAGTGGCACTCATCTGTTGGGAGGTTGTTTGTGGTGGTGGGGGTTACGCCACGACTTGTTGTTGTTGAGGGTTGACATGGGCATGTGCTTGTCAGGTTGTGAGGCGGTCGTATTTGTTTCTTGCATGGTTGTCATTGTTCTTGGGCCACCAGGATTGTTTGTGGTGGTGGTCATGTGATGTGGTGGCCCAAGGCCAGCACAGTGTAAAGGCCAGCACAGCAGAAAGGCTAGCACAGCATAACAGCCAGGGCAGCAGCAAAGCACCAGAGGCTAAGGGGAGGGGTCTGGGGTCTCCCCAGCCATTGCAGCCAGCACTGCATTGACAAACCATTTTATTTGATACTACAGACAGAGGCAGTGAAGTACATTGTAATAGGTACTTGACAGGAAACATAGTGGCATGGGAAGATTTCAAACTCTGACCTTAGGTGTACAGGTTCAATGTCTGCAAGTTGATAGAGTACTATGGAATCATTATCAGTGAGGAGGTCGGTCTCAGTCCAGAGCACCTCATCAACCAAGCCAGGAGATATACCAGCAACAGAGAGCTCAGCCTCTGATGCAACCTGCCTGTTATTGAAATCCAGTCTTCTGGAGTTGTACTGATACTTTGGAAATTGCTGTGATCATCATCTTACAGGTGTGCTGAATGCCAATGTCACACAAAGTGGTACTCAATTCCTGTAAAACCTGGTACATGATCAGGGTTGAAAAAAAGGCCACCAGCCTCTGGAATCTCTGGTGCCATTGAGTGAGCATCCATATTGCAGTACATGAAGTTGTCAAAACCATGTTTGTCAAAGTTCACCTTTGACATATTTGGAGTGGTCTCTTGTGTGCTGCCACCAAACCTCATCGCCATGAACTTACATGAAACCATGATGTCCTTGAGTTCATCCTCAAGCTTGAGATCTAAAAAATGAATTCCAGCAGCGAGGAGATGTCTTCTTCATCTCCTCAACTTCATATATAGAGTTTGCTTGGGTTGTGTCTGCCTCCAAGGCCCATTGTTGACAAACTTCAGCTGGAGATGGCAACAAGACACTGTCAAATTCCAAACACGGTCACATTGCAGGTCGAGGATTGAGTTGAGAAGGGAAATATCATCCCACAATTCTTCCTTGACAGCAACAGCAAAATGTGGTTCAAGATGTTGACCTTCAAAGGCATGGTCAATATCTTCCATGGGGCTGTCATCAGCACCACATGCAAGTGGCTCAACACAACCAATCTGAGAATAATTGTAACCATCTGTCAAAACTTGAAGATGAGTTGCTTACCAGGAAGTCGTTGACGTCGATATCTTCATCAGCCCCATATGGCTCTTTGACAGGACCTATCTGAACAGAGTTCTGATGGTCTAGACTCTATAATGTCAGAGCTTCAGGATAACTTACTGGGAAGTCGTTGATGTCAATATCATCATCAGCCTCATATGGGTCCTCAACAAAACCAATCTGAAAGAGTTGTTATTGTCTAGACATAACCTCAGAGCTAAATGATAACATACCAGGAAGTCATTGATGTCAATATCATTGTCATCGAGTGCAGGAGCTGACCCCCATGGACCTGATATCAAATTGGTTTCCTGCTTTTACCATGAATCAACTATGCATGTGGCAGTTCTATATGTACCACTGGTCCACCAGTGGACAAAGCTGACTTATCATCAGATTCACCCTACATCCAAGTTGGTTTGTCAACTTCTCTAACAATAAGATGCTGAGAGGGTAAGCAAGCACCTTGATAATGTATTTCTGGTCTTCTGGCTCCCCTTTTAAAGCACAGTGGGCCTTCACATCCTGATGGAATTTGGCCTTGACGGTATCTGAATGGTGGCCTTTCCGGTCCTCAAGTTCCTCCTTAGGCTGCAGTAGGTTATTCAAAAGCACAAAGCATAGAGCCATATCAACAATGAACTTTTTTGATATTGAAGGTTTTCTCGTCTTCACTTTTGACCTAGTAGTATTACAACCCTAAAATCTGGCATGCTTGGATTTCTCTGCCCTGCCCGTTTTGTGCTCCCTCCCATTCATCCAGTCCAAGGTTCTTGCACTCATTTTGTAACTCCCATTCGTGTGGTTCCAGAGAACCTTTTTTCATCCAAATCCATTGGAGATTGGCAGAGATACTGATGAAATACTGTGGAATAGGTATATAAATATCTTAATGCTCACTTCAGTCACCCATTTTTGGGTACCTATGAGGTACATCAATTCCTTGATTTAGGGTACCTTGAGGGGAGGTCTTTACCTTCCCCGGGTTAATCCATATGGAATCCATGTGGAATCCATGGAATCAATCTTGGCTGAGACCACTGCCAATTTGTTGTTCCATGGACATCATGGATTCCATGTGGAATGATCATGGAATGGTCATGGAATGGTCAATTCCATATGGAATTTAGGCATATCCACATTGGATTCCATGGAGCATTCCATATGGATTCCATGGAAGACCAATATACCATTAGAATACATATAAACACAGTATTTATAGTGTCCTTACTATATTTAAGTAAAAAAGAATTTTTGCACCTAAGAGAATTGAACCCTCAATGTCATCAATAATACCAACACTAAAGCCAACTGAGCCATGCAGGCTTTATTATATGTTAAATAAAAGGTAGCTATATACCGCACCAAGGCACGTGGCGTCATATGTGTGACATGCTGTGGCTGAAACGTCACCACATTGTTCCTTCCTTCCCCACCACCACCATCTGACGACCATCCACCGTCCCTCACCACCGTGACAAACCACGACCGCCCACATCAACAACGACGCGACCGCCCACATCAACAACGACGACACACCAACGACGCCAACGACGGACAACATCGTCACGGACCACCCGCGACCATTGACGAGCGCCGAGGATGTGAAGACGACATGGCAGATGTGCCATGTTGTCCGGACAGTGACGACGCATGCCGTCATCACTGTCCAACCTGATCAGGTCAGTGCACCCCCCCCCTCTCTCTTTCTGTATGGCCGGCTCACACCAGCTCCAGGGGCCACGTCGCTGTCTGCGACACGAGCGCAACGCAAACGCCAACGCCAACACAAATGAAACAGCAACCCACCCCCACGGACGCCAATACAGCCCACCACCCACGACCGACGACGACGCGCGCCCACGCATGGAGGATTCCACTCATGTCAATGGAAATGGGCAGTACTTTACACTCCCACTGCTTGTCCAACGGACTCCGACAGACTTTCATCGGACCCTGCCATTTCCGATGGACCCAGCGGACAGTCCGTCGGAAGACCGTCGGAGTCCGTTGGACATGACTGGATTCCGCTGCTCAGTGTGACTTGCCAGATACATTCAGTGGACATTTAATAAATCAATAGTGGGATTTGAAACTTGTCAAGTAGAGTTATATACATCTTTTGCTTACTCAGCTTCATCATTGTCAGTATCACCACCTTCCTCTTCCTGCATCCCTTTAGCTGCTTTTTTGGCTTGGCGGGCAATAACCTTTCTAGTGTGATAAGAAAGCATTGTGTGAATAAACCAGTTATAGTTTTGGGGTATCATTCTCTTGAGGATTGATTCAAAACCTCCCAGCCATGCATTGAGTTGTTCACAGGCCTATTATTAGTTCATTAGTTTATCAATATTACAAAGATTCAAATTAGGTTTACCTGAGTATTAAATGCTCGTTTGTCATAGGTTGATCCATCAGAAGCTATGGCTTTTATAACTAAATTTGGAGCAGACCCATCTGTGGGAGCTGGATTACACCATGTTCGACAAAGAATGTCTTCTTTCCAATGTTTCCCATAGTGGAAAGTATCAACTATCAATCGTGTTGTTTCTGACCACTCATCCCAGTGACCTTGTGCAGCCATATGTTTAAGCACTTTACAAGCTTTATCAATGCAGATATAATCTGGATGCGATTCCTTTGTAGGATAAACCTTCTTCATAAAGGCCAGAATGTTTGACTCTGACTCTGATTTGGCAAATTTTGCCCATGCTTCAACAACACCACATGGATAACAAATTGTTTCAACACAATAAAATGTTGCAGGACCAAAAAAGTGCTTTAATTTTTTGGGTTCTGGAGCTGGCTGATCATGTGGCTGAACTTCATGCTCAGATCTAGGATTCCACTCTAGATTTTCTTGCTGACGGTTCAACATTCTTTTTGATCCTGCCAAACTTGCAGCTGAGTGATCGAGCAGGTATTTATTCCAAACACTTTGATGAGCTGCACAGGCTTTTGTGGGGCGAACCAAGGTCTCTGTGCAATCTCTAACACGACAACGATTGCCAAACTCATGTTCATGTACTCGACACAAGGCACCTCCTCGATAATTAAGTAGATCACCAATGCAACCATCAGCAGCACAATGCTTTGTGCCATTAACCATTCCATCAATTACTCTCATGGTTACATTCCGCATCTGAACTGTGTTCTGTGCAGAAGTGGAAGGATCATTATTTGGGTTCAAAACCACATCTGATGTTGCTTGATATGGTTGTGAACACTCAGCACATGCATGACCTTTAGCTGGTTGAATTAAACCATCATTTCCTAAAGCTGCAAAAGCATCTTCTGTTACTTCCTCTATTGATGATACATCTCGAGTGACAAAATCAACCCCTGATATTTCAGATGCTTGCCGGATAGATTCCTGCATGAAAGCAGCCCACACCTGGCAGCGAGACAGTGTGATACAGTCATTGCCATAAGTGTCATTAAAATAATTTGCCCAGCCAGATGTAGATGCATGAAGGTGATATGTTCCATTTATCACTGAAGTTGAAAACTTGCGGTCAACCCAAAGCTTCTGGCCAACTTTAATATACAATGCAGAGTTCAGATATAGTTGCATAGCTTCAGTATCTGCTGTCAAAGCTGTATGTTCATGATCTGCATAATAAATAGTTTCACAGTTGTTACAGTATCCAGAAAGCAACTGAACATTTTTAAAGACCTCTGTGCCTTTGATCAAAGTCACTCTTGGAATATGGCGTGTTTGTGTATTCTGTTTTAAAAAACATCGTCCACAGCCTGCAGTCAAACAGACAGATGAGTTTGGGCAAATCAACAGTGCTGGTTGAATAGAACTGTGTGATATATGTTGCAAAGTACCAGTGAATTTTTGTTTATTGTTATATGGGTAAAGGCCCAATAAATGTGAGAATTCAACAAGTTTCACAGCCAATGATGAAACATTACTCTCTCTGGCAGTTGCATTTTTAAACATGGATAGCTCATTTTCTGAGAATAGAGTGTCTGCATCATTGTCGCCAAGTTGTTCAATAATTGCACGTGCTAGACATTTAATCCATGATGTTGCCTTAGATCCAGGACTTTGTTTGAAATGAAGAGAGAGAAGCTCTGTATTGTTGGTCATTGACAGCAACATCATCATAACTGTTGGCAGAGATATTTTATCTCCAAAGTTGTTGATAATGAATTCACTAAAGTCTTGAAAGCCTATGTCTGGGAAAGGAGCAGACTGTGGGCTTGCTAAGGCATGTGGAATCAAGAATGCCATCCACAAAAGCAGAGATAACTGAGAACTAAATGCAGTGCAAGCAATCATAAAGACCAAACCACTCAAGTTGCCAGCAAGACCATCCAGATAATAGCAAAGAACAAGCAGGACCAAAAGATTCAAACTACTGTACAAAAGAAATTCATGAGATATAGCCAGATGATAGTACAAAGATTTGAGCTGTCAAAGTTAGCATACTTACTACTTGCGCTTGGAACTTCCACTCTTGGAAGTGGCCACCTTCTTAGCAGATCCGGCAGGCTTCTTCGAGGTAGACGATTTCTTCGATGTGCCTGCAGATGCCTCCTTTGCTGCACCTTTCTTCGGCTTGATCAATGATCCCCCATTCTGCACCCATGCAAGCAACTCTGCAAAATGATACGCCTTCATCTTCACCCCAAACAACTCTTCAGTCTCCATACTGTCCTCATCATTACTCAACCATTTTACCATTTCTGGATACTCTGCAATGTGAGGAAAAATCTTGGTCCAATAATCATGCCAGGTCGATTTGCCGATGAAGAGGTTTGGAATCTCTCTACCGACAGGCAGTCTAAGCTCTGCAGGCCAAGTCCCATCCTTCTGCATCTTCTTGAATTTCTTCTCAGCCTCAAGAAGAGCAAGATAGCGAGTGTAATGTTCCTGAAGTTTAAGTGCATTACCAGCACGACGCAAAGCCACTGGAATCTCAAGAGCATCAGCCATTGCAGTCTGCTCTTGGGTAAAGTGAACCCGAACACCCTGAGGTGGGCCAGCGACAACTGGAACAAGTTGGCTAGTAGTAGCAGCAGCAGCAACAGGAAGACCAGGACTAGCAGCTGAGGCAACAACGATAGTAGATGAGAGACTTGGTAAAGTGAAGTTGCTCTGTGGTATCATTGAATTACCAATCAAAAAGTGTAAGAAAAAAATTACCAAAAGAATCTGAATGACTGGCTTGTTGTTTTCTGTGTGCCAAGTGATCTCTTCATCTCCCTCAACTGATGTAATCTCTTCAAAAGAGCCCAAAAGAGTCCAGACAATGTCATGAACAAAAATCGTGTATTCTATTCCAAAGAAGTCAGCATATGTCTATGAATTAAGATAAGACAACTTACCAGGATTCTTGATGGTAGGCCACTTTTTTCCAAGAGCATCGAAGAGAGGTTTAGACATATGAGAGATCGCCAGCATTTTTTGAAAGGATGGAGGGGTTTCAGTAGGCACAACAGTAGAGGGGTCACTGCTTGAAATATAAACCATGATCTTGCCTTTCTGTTGTAATGCAGGCAGATCGACCAAGGGTTCATCACCAAAGCCATAGGTATTTCCAACAGCATTGCCACGTGCAAATCCACCTGGAGATTAAATTTATAAAAAATGGCAGACAGATACAATTAAACTGACCAATTGTCTTGCTAGCACCTTGAAGGTCATCAAGAGTAACAGCCATTTCTAAAATTAATAAACAGATCAGAAAATTTAAAATCCTAGCTTAAATCACTCTACTCACCCTCTAAAGTGGTTACTTCAATGGTGTTCGCCATCGCAGCAGTTGCAACAGAGACAGTTGTCTCTGCCACAGTTCCAACCTTGTTGATGTCCACCATCTCAACATCTTGATCAACACCTGCATCTTTGACTTTGCCTGCATCCTCCTCAACTTTTTCCACATCGTCACCTGACTCCTTGTCCTTCTCCCCCTCAACTTCATCATCATCTCCACCCTCCTCTTCACCCTCATCCTCACCCTCCTCTTCGCCATCTTTGCCACCCTCATCTTCACCCTCATCTTCACCATCTTCTTCACCCTCATCTTCGCCATCACCCTGACCCTTTAGCTCATCCTGATCACCACTCTCACTCCCACTCCCACTCACTTCTCCAATATTAGCCATGTCTCTTCCCTTTCCTTTGTCCTTCACCTCGTCATCTGTCATACCCTCTTCAGCAGACGTCTCTCCCTCTGGAACTTCAGTTACACGCTGACGAGGAGTCTTTACCACAGCTGGTGCTTGCTTTTCAATGATAGTCTGAAGCCTGAAAAAGTAAGTTGGTAAATCTCAAAAAATATAATCTGATAAAATGTTCTTACTCATTGGTGGAAGATACCACTGTGGTAGCCTCTTGGACAGGCCTAGGAGGTGGAGCTATAGCTGCTCCACTATCAAGCAAAATTTTCTGAGTTCTGCATCAAATTAATAGGTGATCAAAATTTAAACATAATAAATATACTGACTTAGTAAGATGATCTGCGGCTGCCTTTTCAGCTGCAGCCTTTACAGAACTAGCCCTCGAAGTCCTAACAAATATTGGTAAACAACCCATTGAGTTAGAATAGAAAGAAAAAAAGAATTAAATGCTTACGGAGTAGATTGGCCTGCGGCTGCCTTTTCAACTGCAGCCTTTACAGGTTTGGCACTAGATTTCCTACAAAAATTGGTAAGCAAATGACCAAGCTATGATGAAAAAAAAAACATACATAATTCCCTTCTTTCCCTTCTTTCCAGCAGCTTTGCTATGGAGAGGTCTACTTCAGTAATAAATTCAGAGATATTGAATTTTTCTTACTTGTTTCCCTTGTCCCCTTTCTTTCCTGTAGCTCCACCTTCATTATCCTCACCCTCACCTCCAGTCTCACCCACTTCACTGTCCATGGCAACCTTCTTGGCAGCTGGTTCCACAGAGGCATCAACAGACGATGCAGCACGCTTTCTGGGACTCCTACGAGACTTAGGAGGGGACTTAGGAGGCGAGGTGGGAACATTAGCAGAGTTCTTGGAAGTCCTGGGAGGCATAGTAAGCAAGGAGTTAACTCAGATGTTCTTAGATGGTGGTGGATGAAGGAAGAGATAAGAAACAAGCAACTTGTCAAGTCCACTTGTCATTACATAAGCATTTCTCACCACTTCAAAGTTCACAAAAAAACCGTAAGTCCAAAGTTGCAAAGAAATTTTTACTTGCAAAAATACAAACTATGTACACATACGAAAGAAACTATCTACCAGATGTATATAACTCTCCTACTAAAAGGGCGTGTGTACGTAAGGTGGGGCACGAAACGATACAGGAGGGAAGTGGAAGTGGATGCGTTGAGTCTAAGGTGGGGGCGCGAAACGATATGAGACGGGAGTGGAAGCGGATGTGTTGAGTCTGCAGGGATGGGCGTTGGGCGCCGTTTGTGAAATGGTGGGGGATGAGTGTGGTTGGGCGCGAAACGATGTTGGGCGTGAAATGACGGACACTGGGCGCCGTTGGTGAGAAGGGCGAGAAAGGGGAGTGGAAGGGTACAAGGCGGGGTACACGGATGTGGTGAGTCCGCTGGTGGATGTTTGGACGGAAAGGCGAAGGGCGCTGTGGGCGCTGTTTGCGAAATGGATGGGTTTGAGCAGTTTACTGGGTGGAAAACGACAGGCAGTGGGCGCCGTTGGTGAAAAGGGTGGGAAAGGGGAGTGGAAGGGTGCGTGCGTGCGTTACATGGGTGCGTAGGGTCTGCGGGTGGGCGGTTGTTGTGAAATGGGTGGAATTGGGAAGTTTGTGAGGCGCAGAACAAGAGGCGCTGGGTGCCGTTGGTGAAAAGGGTAGGAAAGGGGAGTGGGAGGGTACAAGGTGGGGTGTGCGGATGTGGTGAGTCCACTGGTGGACGTTTGGACGGAAAGGCGAAGGGCGCTGTGGGCGCTGTTTGCGAAATGGATGGGTTTGAGCAGTTTATTGGGCGCGAAAACGACAGGCAGTGGGCGCCGTTGGTGAAAAGGGTGGGAAGGGGAGTGGAAGGGTGCGTGCGTGCGTTACATGGGTGCGTAGGGTCTGCGGGTGGGCGGTTGTTGTGAAATGGGTGGAATTGGGAAGTTTGTGAGGCGCGGAACGAGAGGCGCTGGGCGCCGTTGGTGAAAAGGGTGGGAAAGGGAGTGGAAGAATGTGTGGGTGCCGTATAAACGATGGGAAATGGTGGTTGAAGAGTGCGTGGGTGCCGCATGCAGATGGGCAATGGGCGCCGTTGGTAAAAGAGGGTGGGGAAGTGGGGTGGAGGGTGCGTGGGTGTTGTATGTGAGCTGGTCATGGATCGTGGTGCTGCCGAATTGGTCAGTAGGTGCTAAAATCGAGGGGGGACACACCATGGGCCCCACAGGGTTTCAAACCTGATGTTAACGTTGTCAGTGGGCAGTGAGATGGAGATAGCGACGTGGGACTTACCTGTGGGACCCACGAACATCGTTCTACACTGAAACGACGCGGCTACGCGATGTCGAGAGGATGAGGGACAGAGGGTGGTGATGGGGGGAGAAGAGGAAGGGTGGGAAGAAATTGTGTTGGTGTGACGGATTCATCACACAACTTGCCATGTGACTTTCAAATATATTTGGGAATGCTCACCCCGCAAGCTGAACAAAATGCAAAAACCCAATGGTCAGGACTATACAACACACCTATCATTATAACTACTAGCCACGACATCTCTACTTTACTATGTAGATATTTAGTTGTTTATTATTTACTTTCTTTTTCAGTAATAATACTAGTAACGAGCCCTGCTTCCTTGCATTCCGTTGGACTTTCGTTGGTCATGTCCATCGGAATTCCGTTGGACTTCCGTTGGCGGTGTCCGTTGGAATTCCGTTGGACTTCCGTTGGCTGTGTCCGTTGGAATTCCATTGGTCTTGGTCATTTCCAGTGGACTATAGCTGATGGTTTGCTGTTAGTCCATTGGTAGTCCACCGGAAAAGTCTGTTGGACTGAAAGGTCCAACCAAAAATGGCCGGAAAATCATCGGAAAATCATCGGAAAAATACTGCACTTGCAAAGCAGAAAAATCTCTGTTCTGATTACCCTCAGTCCGACGGAGTCCGACCGGAGTCCACTCGGAAAAGCAGTGGCAGCGTAAAGACCTCACATTTGCTTAGGAATGTGAAGCTGGGAGACCTAGCTAAAGCAAGGTGATCAGATTTTATGTTCTTTAAGTCTCCAGATTGATAGGAAGTAGATCTAAATTATTGGAAGAAGAACTTAAAATGTATCAAGTTTTCATTGAGTTATTCATGCTTAGCTGGTGGCCAAGTCGCAACTCAAATGAACTGACTTTTTTCATAACCAGTCTAATATATCAATCAAATCTCAGTGTTTTGTTGGGGATCTTTTTCTTAAACTTTAGATCAGCTTCTCATATACCTGTCAATTCCAAGAAGATAAAATTTGAGCAAAAATACCACTCTGTATGAACTTCATTCAGAAACAACATTGCACTTTTTGCACACCAAATTGCATGCTTTTAAAATTAATTGTATGTGGAGTGGTACTTAATGTAGTAGATTATTGAAGTGCATATTCTAGTCCAACCTGTTGGATATTAATCTAGCTCAAGTCCAAGCTTTTGAAATGGATGGTATTATGTAGTGTTTAGGACTGAATGATAATACACACAATTTCTTGTTGTCTTGCTTCTCAAATACCACATCACCACAATGGATCCAGTATTATGCATGCCAAAATCTGGGATCAAGCTCAATTGAACTAATTTTCAAAGGATTAAGTTTACTATATTGCCTCCTTTTGTAGCTTAATACCTCAGCAAAAACCTGAAGAACCCTTCCACAAAAAATGGCACCCAATGGACCAGTATTGCAGCCTGCAGAAATAATTTATATATTTTGAAAAAGGACCCCANNGACACCCTTTGTCAGCTTTGGTATGATGGTATGGTATGGTATGAGATCATTTGGTATGGTATGAGATGACATGGTATGGTATGGTAACATGGTATTGGTATGAGTGGGATATGGTATGGGTTTTCCATTCCATGGTACCATGGTATTGGTATTGAGCTCATATACCACCCCGGAATGGGTACCCTCAAGGTACCCTAAATCAAGGAATTGATGTACCTCATAGGTACCCTAAAATGGGTGACTGAAGTGGAGATAATCCCATGGACAACTGTTCGGATGCCTTCAGCTCCTCTGTGTTACGCTCCTCCTCCAAAAGCCCATCCAAGTATACCTCCTTCTTTTGAAAGCCATAGTCCACCCATCGGATGAGGCCGCCTGCGGTAAACTGGGTAAAGCTATAGCGTCGCTCGCCAGGTTGGATGGGGGTGTTGGAGTGAGTGACAGCAGCAGAAGGAACCAAGATTGTTGATCTGGCAGGAAACTCAATGACCAGCCAGAGATCCCAAAGAACAAGATGTCCACCTTTCTTGGCATCAAAGTGTCCAAGAGACGTGATTGCGCAGAGGCCGAAGGGTAGATTTGCATGGTCCTTGTGTCAGTAACAAACGGTTTGTGGCCCGAGGTTGAAGCAGCATGAGGCGAAGACGCTGCTGTCGAAGTTCTGCTGTAATTGATCGTTGTGGTCGAGAAGGACCTGAAGAGGGTTGGCGTAGTACTTGTGAAGGCGTGGTGCCCACGTTGATAAGATGGCTATCAGTTCGCTGGCTGAGTGGAAATGTTTGAAGGGAGACGACCTTTGCTTACCAGACTGATGGCCTGCCAATCGAACAAAGGCCTCGTGTTTTCGAAGACTTTCCATAAGCTCCACCTCTGAGGGATCTTGCTGTAGTATGCCTGGCTGTGTCTGTCCTCCGCCGTGCAAGATGCCCATATTCCTTGTGAGATACTTGCCTCTCCTGTGCCGCCGATCCTTCTTGCTCAGCTTGAAATGAGGCCGAGCAGCCTCCCATGCCTCCGCAGCAGCCTCGGCAACCCCCTGGAATGATGCAGCGTTGGTTCCCCCACAAACCATGATGATGCGTTGCTTGTGGTCTCCGATGGGTATAGATGTTCTGTTCTGTACGTCAAATATAAGTCGAAAGAAATACTGCCGTCACTCACTCGCCGGTCCATGATACATAGTCAAACTGAAAGCGTGAATGTGGTCCCACCAGTTGATCCACCGTGTATAGGGTCGTGGAGCCATCGCCTCGAATACCAACGTATCCGGTGGATGCAATTGACAATTTCGTGCTGTCAAACTTTGTTTTGAGTGGCACAGCATCACTAATGTGGTTCTTCCGGATGTTTGGCCGTGCCTTGTAGTTCTCCACCCGCCTTGCATTCCCCTCTTTCTGAAGGACACGCTCCAATTGGCGCTTTTTGTTTCGGTTGACGTGGCCCTGTCTCTTGCTGTGAGTGGAGGGGAGGTCTTTACCATCCCCCATGAGTTCCGGCGGATTCCAAGTGGAATGTCGGAATTCCATGGAATTCCGACGGAAACTAGTTGGCTGGAGCCTCAGCCATTCTGGTTTCCAATTCCACAGAAATTCCAATGGAATCCGACGGAATCCGGTGGAAATGGTCGGAATCCGGGAGCCTCCCGGAACAGTTTCCATTGGAATCCATTGGATTCCAACCAGATTCCATGGAATTCCAATGGAAAGTATATTCCAGTCAAATTCCAACAGATTCCGAGAGATTCCAATGAATTCCAATATTTGTTGTTGTTATTATAATATATAAAAAAATAAGTGGATTCATAAGGATTGAACTCTAGGCTTGGGAAATGTCACGTGAAGTCCAAGCAACAATATTTCCACTACACCATACGGCCGTTAAAATTCTACAAACAATTATTCTATATAACCCACCCTCACTAAACGAGTCACGGCGTTTGCCGACGTCACCATCAGCATCTCTGTTTTGCTGTCAACCACAACCACAACCATAACCACAACCACCACCACCGTCGCCGCGACCAGCGCGGTCACCTCGAATCACGCCCACGCCAGCGGACAACGACGACGACGACGACGATGGACGACGACACGACGACACGACGACGACGACGGACGACGACACGTCAACGCACGACGAGGACGACGACACGTCAACGCACGACGACGACGGACGACGACGACGCGTCACGTCAACACACGACGACCACGCACGACACGTCAGCGACGACGACACATCAACGGACGACGACGACGACGAGGACGAGGACGAGGACGACGACGGACGAGGACGACGACACGACACGTCGACGGACGACACGTCAGCGACGACGAGACGGCCGCACGTCAACGGACGACGGCGACACGTCAACGGACGACGACGAGCCCCCTCCCTTTTCCCTCCCCCCTTCCTATTCCCTCCTCCTTCCTATTCCCTCCCCTTTCCTTTTCCCTCCCCCTTCCTTTGTCCTCCCCCTTCCTTTGTCCTCCCCCTTCCCTGTCCCTCCCCTCCCTCTTCCCTTTCCCTTCCCTTTTCCCTCCCCCTTCCCTTTTCCATCCCCCTTCCCTTGTCAATCCCCTATTTCTTGTGCCCCCCCCTTCCTTTACCCTTTACCCTTCCCCCCTTCCTTTTCCCTTTTCCCTTCCCCCCTTCCTTTCCCTTTTCCCTTTTCCCTTCCCCCCTTCTTTTTCCCTTTTCCCTTTTCCCTTTTCCCTTTTCCCTTTTCCCTTTTCCCTTTTCCCTTTTCCCTTTTCCCTTTTCCCTTTTCCCTTTTCCCTTTTCCCTTTTCCCTTTTCCCTTTTCCCTTTTCCCTGTTCCCTTTTCCCTTTTCCCTTTTCCCTTTTCCCTTTTCCCGGTCCCTTTTCCCTTTTCCCTTTTCCCTTTCCCTTTCCCTTTCCCTT